TAGAGGGGAGGGGAAGTGAAAAATGATATGTTTCTCTTTCTCATGGAGATTTTGCCTATTTCTTGACTCCAACATACCCTTCTCTTCAAGGGGAGAAGAGGATTGAAAAGAAGTTTCTATGTTCTTAAGCGTGTTCACAGTGTTTCTGTGTCCTTAGCCGTGTTCACAGGGTTTCTGTGTTTTTAGCCGTGTTCACAGGGTTTCTGTGTTCTTTAAACTCCTCATATCAAATTTCTCATATGCAAATCCAAAACCCTAAATCAAATTCCTCATATTTTTCCCCAAATTCAAATCCCTCAAATCTAAAGTCCTCAAATGCCTTATCTTAAATTTCTCATATTCATATTTTAGCATGGTATCAAAGCCAGGTTCTTCGAACACAGAGAATCTGCTTCAAAACTACCAGTCGCCAGTGGAAAGTGACTAGTAGTCAGAGAAGCTGTTTTAGAATTAATCTAACATATTCAAACACATCGGTTGTAGAATTAATCTGTGTTTGAATTTTCTCAAGATTGTGAACTTTTCAATACAACTACTTTGATTTGGAACAAAAGGAAAATAAGGCCAAAACGCGTAGAGCATGTCGTGCACACTGAAAAATAAAAAGGACGTCGATAAATCTGTGGTTGAATTTTCTCCATTAATTAAACTAACGAGGAGGCCTGGCCGGAGCAAAAAGTTGAAGCCCCTCTTGAAATTATGGAGAAGGCTCTTGTCAAATTTGGAAATGATATTGCAATTGCCTTTTATTGAAGTGAGCCTCCTAATTAATCAAGGAGATTTATTTCCTTGATTAATTAAGGGATTTACTTTCTTATTTTATATAATTGTCAAATCACTGTATAATTAGGAGATACTTTCCGAATCCTTTACTGTGTCTAATTCGTTGTAAAGCACTCATGTAAACTCTTATATATACCTCCTTATGGAGAAGAATAAAATAAGAACCTAATAAATTCAAACTCATATTCATATTTTAGCATGGTATCAGAGCAATCGATCCTCGATTGTCTCTAAATTCTCATATCAAAATTTCTCCTCCCCTCCTCTTCAAGGGGCAGAGGGGGAGTGAAAAAGGATATGTTTCTCTTTCTCATGGAGATTTCGCCTATTTCTTGACTCCGACATATCCTTCTCTTCAGGGGGAGAAGATGATTGAAAAGAAGTTTCTATGTTCTTAAGTGTGTTCACAGTGTTTCTGTGTCCTTAGTCGTGTTCACAGGGTTTCTGTGTTTTTAGCCGTGTTCACAGGGTTTCTGTGTTCTTTAAACTTCTCATATCAAATTTCTCATATTCAAAACCAAAACCCTAAATCAAATTCCTCATATTTTTCCCCAAATCCAAATCCCTCAAATCTAAAGTCCTCAAATGCCTTATCTCAAATTTCTCATATTCATATTTTAGCATGGTATCAGAGCCAGGTTCTTCGAACACAGAGAATCTGCTTCAAAACTACCAGTTGCCCAGTGGAAAGCGACTAGTAGTCAGAGAAGCTGTTTTAGAATTAATCTAACATATTCAAACACATCGGTTGTAGAATTAATCTGTGTTTGAATTTTCTCAAGACTGTGAACTATTCAATACAACTACTTTGATTTGGAACAAAAGGAAAATAAGGCCAAAACGCGTAGAGCATGTCGTGCACACTGAAAAATAAAAAGGACGTCGATAAATCTGTGGTTGAATTTTCTCGATTAATTAAACTAACGAGGAGGCCTGGCCGGAGCAAAAAGTTGAAGCCCTTATTTGCACCAAGTGATCATAGGATTCTAATTGAGAATTGGGCTATTCTCTAGTGGGGACTTCTTTTTGAGAACCTCTATGTGAGAGCACCGTTGGATTGAATCTAATGGCTCAGAAAAAGCAATTCTAAGTGAATCTGTTGTACTCTGTTGTACTAGAATCTGACCCTCAATTTGTTTTCTCTCCTCTCTCCTCCAAAACTTTCTCGGAAAATGTTTATTTCCCGCGTGGGTGCCCTTTTTTCCCGCATTGTTGTCTCTGCTCTTTTTTTTTGTGGTGAAAATTGTTGTCTCTGCTCTTTTTTTTTGTGGTGAAAATTGTTGTCTCTGCTCTTGAACGTTGATATTTTAGCCCCAAAATTATATTACAAAACTTAAAGCAATCAGCTTTACCTTTCCAGATGACTTTTCAATCTCCATGAACTACATCCCTCTTTTATTTTTTGATTGGAACTACATCCCTCTTTTCTCATCTATTTTTCCATCTACCCATATCAAGAGACGGATCAATAGACTGGCTTCCTTGCTTTCATTTCTATACAAAGCATCACTCTTCTCCTCTTCTGAATTTTTTTCGTGAAAACTGTCATGACTGACTACCAATCTGGATTTAGCTTTCCCTTTGGGAAATGGGTTTTGGGTGTGCGGGTATGTGAAAATTTTGGGGTTGTATGTGTAGATTTGAGGTGTTTTATTTAGATGAAAGGCAAAAAAACTAGATTTTTTTGTTTGGGTGGGCATGATTTATGTTGGGGTTGAATATGATTGATTGTGTTTGTTTGATGATCTTGCGGTTTTTTTTTAATTCCATGTCTCTGCTTGTTGTCTACTCTTTGTACCAATATTTCTGATTTATGGGCTATAGAAAAGCATAGAATGGATTGAACAACTCGGCTATGTTATTATGTGTTTGATGATTAAGACTATGTTTTGGTTCTTGTCTCCTCAAGTGAGCTCTTCTCTTTATTTTCTCTGGTTCTTGTCTCTTGCTGAGGTTATCTCCTTCCTTCCTTGCTCTGGTTAAGAAATCTGGTACAGTCCTCTTCCTTTTCTTAATCTGAACATTTAAAAATGTGGTATTCTGAATATATCTCATGCAAAGACATTAATTTTGGCGAAATGGGTATTGGGTGTGCGGGTATGCGGAAAGTTTGGGATTATAGATGTAGACTCGAGGGTTTTTTTCCCTGCCTTGCCCTCCGCTTCACTGAATGGTTAGTCCGGGGAAAAAGTTTTACAACTGTCAAATAGTAGGTTTAGAGTTCCTAGCATAAACAGGAATAAGTCGCTTTAGGGGCTCTTCAGAAATTTTTATTTTCCTTCTCTTAAAGAAAAGAAATTTTAATTTTCCTTGTGATATATTCATGTTTCTCTTCTAGTTTGCATCTGAATAGAGGACAACAGTGTTGTGGAGTTCATTCATTGCAGGTAAGGCCTGTTTTGAGTTATGCTAGCCTATAGGTTTCACAGGGCTCCAATTATTGATAATGATTGTTTGCCATCTCATAGCCTTATGCATACTGGTCATTGTTTCTCTGGTTTAATGAGAATACTCATTATATTGTTAATATTTTGTCCATTTGTGTCATTTATTGCTTCCATATGGGCATACGGGACATATTTTCTTGGTTATTGTGTTCATTTAATTTGTGCATGCCCTTGTTTAAAGCGTTGGTTGCCTTGTGTTCAGAATCACAATGTTGCAACATCACTTGTTTGCCACAAAAATATGTTTCGTAAACGCTTCAAAAGGATTCACTACAGCTTCAACATCGCTTTACTAAAGCTTCCTAAATTTTATTTTATTTTTACTAAGAAGTCTTAATTACTATTTATGGAAATTTGAAGTAATAAAGGGAGGAAGTGAATCATTTTTATCCATTCTACGAGTATCACGCTGCCAAAAAGTGTCCGAACGAATTCACTAGAGCGTCATGGGTGCATCATTTTGGGTAATAGAAGAAAATATTAGCACATTGCATAATTTGTAAAGCTCTAAACACGGCATTTTGACTTTTGTCAAAATATGTTTCATAAAAGCATCACAAAGATTTCATTAGGGCTTCAATACTTATTCAAATTTGGGAAATTGAATAAGAAAATTTGTACAAAAGAATGCAAGCTATGTAAAAGTCCAGTGCAGAACCAAAATATTGTCATAACTTTAGATTCTATAAAAAGGAAGGAAATTGCATTGAAATGGAAAAACTTCCAACCTTGAAGGCAAGGAAATATGCTGAAAGAGTTGTGAGTATTGAAACAGATGATGTAAATTGAACGTTGTCATCTTTGCCAAACCAAAAGGCAAGCTAAAAACCTTGCACCTAACAATCATACCACCTCCACACATCTATCCAATTATTTATTTGTTTTGACATCAAAATTGATTTCAAGCTTAAAATATGAAGTAAATGTCACAAGGAGTTCGTATGATTTTGTGTGTGTGAATTTTTATGATTTATTATGATTTATAGAAGTTAAAGCATTGTAAAATAGTAATAAATGAAATATAATGACACATGGTAGCGTTTCATAGGTGTGTCATCACCGACAGGTGTCAGTATCATGTAACGCCACGTGTCATCATAGCTTCATTCTTGTGTCTTTACCTCAAAAAATTCACAAAAAATGAATACAAAATCCAAAAAATGTACCCAAAATTTCTAAAAACTCCTTGTGTTCGATTATGATGTGTGAAAATAAAATTTTGACTTCGGAAAATTTGAAGTAATAATGGGAGGAAGAGTTATTGTAAGGGAGAGATTTAACGGCGGAACCACATTGTAACAAATTAAAAAAATCAAGGTATGTAATTGTAAAAATTGAAAAGATAGAAACTAACATACCTTCAGGGTGTAACTACATGGTACTAAACTATAATTAACCCTTGGAAACATTTCGATACCAATATATCATGAATTGAAATTATTTCTATAGCCATCCCAAACATGCTATTAATAGAGAATCTCTAAGAGGTATTGGAATCACAACAGTCTATTTTTTTTTCAATAATATTATTTGTCCCACATTTATTAAACATTAAAAAAAAAAAAGAGTATGTTTAATAAACATACGTTGCTGCTGATAACCTTTCTAAATACAATAGCAATATTTGTTCTGTTTTTGACATCTTGAAATGGCACCATAATTTGAGGATCCCACTTTGATGACTCGAACAACACCATCCAATAAACAAGCCACGTGGAATAGCAAAGTAGAGAGGTGTTGAACGATATAGCGTCCAGATTCAATGAACCAGCATTCGTTAACAGAACCCATTTTATTGCTTTTCTTTCTGCTCTCCACGCCATCGCTCTTCACTGCCAGACTCTCTCTCTCCCTCTCTCTCCCTCTCCTTCTCTCTCTTATGGCTTTCACAGCTTCGTCTCCTTCTCCCTCTTCTCTTCTTCGCGCTTCGTTCTCTCCGCACGAGCCCAAAGGTACACTCTAACCCTCTCTCCCTGTTTTCAATTTCGCAATTTTTTATTATTCATGTATTTATTGTTGTTTGGAATTAAGTTAATTTATTTGGTGTTTATTAATAAATAACCGTAGTATTTCTTGGGTGTAAATATAACATGTGATTAGCAAAAAATAAAAATGCAATAAAATGTGATACGAAATGATGATTATTTATGTTAAAAATTTGATTTTGATATATGACCCATTTCCTGCAGCCCATGACAATGATGTAACAAAAACGCTAGTGATTCGTTTCTTAGATATGTGGAAGTAAAATTTGAATTAATATTTTGGGGATTTTCATTCTCTGTTCTTTAATTTGTTTCATTGAATGGGATCTCATGTGTTTTTTGCTTATTGTTTGAATCCCATTAGCTCCATGGACATCTTCTGCGAGTCAATCGGATCAATTCTCCTTCATATCGACAGCCGGGCCCTCTTGCCAGATACCATCGTTGCTAAAACCCATTTCTGCAGAAACGCACAGGAGCAAATCTGTTGTTCCACTTGCTGCAAAAGTGGCTGCTGCAGAGGTTGACAAGAACAATGTAGCAGAAGATTATGAAAAACTGGCCAAAGAGATGGAAAACGCTTCCCCTCTTGAAATTATGGAGAAGGCTCTTGTCAAATTTGGAAACGATATTGCAATTGCCTTCAGGTATATTCACCATTTATAGTACTAATTTGTGTTCTTATTCCAGTCTGAAGAGTTTTCATGGAACACCAACACATGGGGCTGAGACATAGTCAACTAAGAAATGAAGAGCTAAACTTAAATTTAGTTAATGTTAATTTGTGCAGTGGAGCTGAGGACATCGCCTTGATTGAGTATGCCAAAATAACTGGTCGGCCCTTCAGGGTATTTAGCCTGGATACTGGGAGGCTAAATCCAGAGACGTACCAGTTTTTTGAAACCGTTGAGAAGCACTATGGCATTCACATTGAATACATGTTCCCTGATGCTGTTGAAGTTCAAGGACTGGTGCGAGGCAAAGGATTATTCTCATTCTATGAAGATGGCCACCAGGAGTGCTGCAGAGTAAGGAAGGTTAGGCCTTTAAGGCGGGCCCTTAAGGGTCTCCGTGCCTGGATCACTGGGCAGAGAAAAGATCAGTCTCCTGGCACAAGGGCTGAGATTCCAGTTGTCCAGCTGGACCCATCATTTGAAGGAATCGATGGTGGAATTGGCAGCTTGGTCAAATGGAATCCTGTTGCCAACGTAGAAGGCCCTGACATATGGAACTTCCTCCAAGTCATGAACGTTCCTGTCAATCCTTTGCACTCACAAGGTTACGTTTCAATTGGATGTGAGCCATGCACAAGGCCAGTTCTACCAGGGCAGCATGAAAGGGAAGGAAGATGGTGGTGGGAGGATGCTGAGGCGAAGGAGTGCGGCCTCCATAAAGGAAACATTAAAAAAGAAGAGGCGCTACACCTCAATGGCAATGGAAATGAGATTTCAGCAACAAATGGGAGTGCAAATGTCCCAGATATCTTTAACAGCAAGACCTTGGTTTCCTTGAGCAGGACTGGGATAGAGAACCTGACTAGATTGGAAAACCGAAGTGAACCTTGGCTTGTTGTGCTTTATGCACCTTGGTGCCGATTCTGCCAGGTAAATACTACTTGTGATATTGCCATGCATATATAGTGTGTGGATTGCACAAAATATGCTGAGTTTTCAACTGTGTCTCACTTGAATTTTTCTTATTCCCCGGAAATATTTGCAGGCAATGGAAGGATCATATATTGAGTTAGCAGAGAATCTAGCAGGGACAGGAGGGAAGGCGGGCAAGTTCAGGGCTGATGGGGAACATAAGACATATGCACAACAAGAGCTGCAGTTAGGGAGCTTTCCAACAATATTGTTTTACCCCAAGCACGCATCAAAGCCCATCAAGTATCCATCAGAGAAGAGGGATGTTGCGACATTATTGGCTTTTGTGAATGCCCTCCGCTGAGAACTAGATGCATCCTCATCCGCATCCTCACCTGATACCCTATTACCGGAAAGCACCAGTGCAAGGAACTGCTGGTGTTAAGTCTTAGGCAGAGTTAGGCAGAGTTAGGCAGTTATCTTGAGGTTATGGTGTTTTGAGTAATATAACCCTGTAAAGTAAATATGGTGTGAGATCAATCATCACGTCGATCTCTGCTGCACGTTTTGCTGAATAAAAACGATGGTTGTCTTCATTAGAAGTAGTCCTTCTACCTATTCATCAATCTGTTCAATGAAGTTGCAGTCAATGTACTTTATCAAAAGCCTTTGTATAAGTTGTAGGGGACAGATAGAAATTGCAATTTGTCGCGTTTTATGAAATTATCCTAAACTCAAATTCGACACGTTAACTTATCGTGCGTGTCGTATGTAACTTTGTTTATACCTAGAGAATGAAGTAACTTATTAGTTTGTGAAAGCTAGTGGCAAAATTTCTAAAAGTCTTCAAAGAAAACATCCTCCATTGAGTTCTGTGACGATTTGGAGGTGGTTAGGCATCAATCTATAGGACTATCAAGACTACTTATCACTTTTTTGTGTGTGTGTTTTTTTGTTGTGGGGTAAACAAATGATCGCAATAGTGTTAATACTTTTCTCAAACCAAAGAACTAAACAAATAAACAAGCATTCGTCCAATAAAACAAGTAATTGTTGATACGTTACAGTTCAAGTGTTCCTCAGCGACTTCAAAGGCGTATTTCCTTATGAAACAGCTTCCATCTGATATACATATCAAATAAAAAAGTATCAAAACTTGAAAGAATTCATAATTTACAACTGTCTATACATATTTTGAAATATTATTTTGGCGATCGGATAGTGACAATGCTTTATATTATATATTATATATTCTTTTTTCATGTTGGAATTGTTATTAGCATTTTAAAATAGTTATCTTCCACTCCTTATCCTTTTTTATTTTTTTATATATTTTTAAACAAGGGTGTGAGAGGAGGGGAATCGAACCTACCTAGACCTTGGGAGCAATGATAAATGCTCGTAACCACCTTAAAATAGTTATCTTCCACTCTTTTTGCACTTTTATGTTTCCGTTAAGGAAAAATGCATGATGACTATTTTGGAGTGTCAATAACAGTTTTCTTTTCTCTCGCTAATATTCAAGTTGTCTTACTCCAATTAATAAGTATGTTCACTTTTTACCTTTTCAGGAAATTCTCACTCTTCGGTTTAAACAAATCTTTTTTTTTTGTAATGAATAAATGTTCGATTAATCAAAATCTGTTTTTGGTAATTAACACTTGCAGTTCCAGATACTTCCATCAAGTTTGGAGCCACCGTTCCCATCTCTCTCTCTCTCTCTCTCTCTCTCTCTCTTCAGTGTATGCAGAGAGACATATAAGTATATCCAGTACTTGGGTGGGTAAACTCGCTATACTGATGATGAGAGCATAAGAAAGAGATAGCCACGCCCAAGTCAAGGTCAAACATACACTTTGGACTGTTCGATGCTAAAGTTAAGATAAATAAATAAGAAATGATATATAAAAGCTAGATACACTGTTCAACGACTATTGGAAAGTGTTCTTATTTCAAAAACTGTTTTGGACAAGTCAAGAAAGCCGTCCGCCGACGTCAGATTCTACGAAATACAATTTCGTTATTGTTTTTATGTAGAATATGTGCTTCTTGGTCTCGAAAGTCATAACAGTGACGATTAAATGGGACCAGAAACCACATCATTTTATAGCGACAAGGATTCGCTATAAGAACAAAGAACAACGTACAATTTACAAGGAGAAGTTTGAGATCCTAAAGCGACAATGGATTAAGATATCTCTGTTTGGTAGTGCGCATGCTTATTTAATTGGGAGATTCACTATTATACTTAGGGGGTGTATTCAATTAAGAGTTTAAAAGAGTTTAAAAGAGTTTAGAAGTTTGGGTGTATTCAATTCAGATTTTAAAAGAGTTCGTAAAAGTTTGGGTGTATTCAATTCAGATTTCAATTGATATTAAAAAAATACATCGAAATCTAGGTGTATTCAATGATGACTTTTTAAAAGTCAAACAAAATTTAGGTGTATTCAAAAAGTAATTTATTTTGAAGGAATTAATAAGTTGCCCGATTTCGTTAGAAATTAAAGTGGTAAGTATAAATACAAAAGGCTTTGACAAATCTTATGTGAACCCTAGAAACTTTGAACGTGCTCTACGCTTTCCAGTCCTTGAATGTGTGTGCAAAATCTCTTCTCTTTTTCTACGCTTTCTACGCTTTACAGTGCTTGAATAATTGTTGTTGCTATACATCATCATATATCCAAGCAATTGATGTTGCTTGTATTCGATGCACATCATGTATGAATCGTTGGTGTTTCTTGAATAGTTATTGTTGCCATCATCAAATATCAATGAACAGTACATCATCATCATATTTATTGCTGTGCATGTACTTTTTCTACGATTTTTCTACTTTTCATTCTTTTCATTTTTTTTTTGGTTCCTGTTTTATTTTTCTTGAATAGTTTTTTGGTTGCTGTTTTTTTTTTTCTGTACTTTTTCTATATCATCCTTTTTCTTTGGTTGCTGTTCATCAAATATCGATAGCCTTCTTCATCTACAATCATCCTTTTTTTTGTTATGTGTTTCCCTTCTTTATCAATGTACAATATATATATATATCTAGTCCATGCCAAAACAAAAAGGAAAAAAATTATCTTCATATATGTATTTTTTCTTATGAACTAATTAAAGATTGCATGTATTATCTAGTAACATTATAAATGGGAGATTCACAACAAGGAAAAGGAAAAACACCTTATAACCCAAATAAAATCTAGAAAATCTATTTTCTTTGGATGCCCTTTTCTTATTTGGTTGTAAAGGTACTTTTCTCTTTTGAAAATCTAGAAAAACGATAAACAAACCAAATAAAAAATAAAAAATAAAAAAAATATATATTTAGAACTCTAATCAACTCTTTTCAAATCTACGACAAAACTCTAACAAACACCATCAAAATCAATCTAGGAATTCAATCATACTCTATGTGGAGTTGATAGAAATCAATTGAATACATTTAACTCTATAAACTTTATAACTCCATTCAACTCTTTTAAAATCTTAATTGAATACACCCCCTTTAGTTTAATGGTATTCTCTCCTTTTTATTTTCCTCTCACGTTGATTACCCAAAAAAAAAAAAAAAAAAGAAAAAGAAAAGGTAAGATGCATGCACGCTTCTACAAGAGGATGCATCTTTTAAAATTTTAAGTTTTGCAAATTTTCTATGGTTTAGAAATCAAAGAATTGTGTCAAAAACCAAACCCAATTTCCAGGCCAACCACATGAGCTCTAGAGCTATACATCAAAAGGCTTCGGTTTGGTTCGCAAATTTGCATAATTTATAATTATTTTGCTTTAGAGGCTCATTTTATGAGGTTAAAGAAGCTTGTTGTGGGCTTGGGCGTCTGAACGCAGATGCTCCTTGTGTGCCAATTTCAACCTGTTGTAAGAACAGAAGTGACCATATCTTCTGGGATAGATTACATCCTTCAGAGGCAGTTCATCGCATCATTGCGGATTACATGGTTCATGGTTCTTCACAATACACATTTCCAATCGATGTGAAGAACCTGCTTCAGGTTTAATTACAAAATCAAAAATTATTTGTGGATATTTTTTTCTGGGAGTTTTCGGTCAAATATGTCCTGCTGAACCCTAACCTGCCAACCATCCAGATGGCAATGCATTGTTCGTTTAGTTTGGATAATTATGGTTAATTAGCTCCAATTAATGCAGTTGGGATTGATAATGAAAGTAATTAAGTGTTGATTGCGAATACATCTATCATTATCTGAGATCGGATCATGTCGAAGCCTGATTGAAGTGCTATAAAAAAGTGTCATTTCACAAATCTCTATCACTGAAATGCTTCTTTTATCTAACAAAAAGAATATACTCTCTTGCCTCCAAAAAGTGGAAAAAAAATAAATGCATTTTTTAAAGTAACAAAGTACAATTAAAATGACGTTCCTCTACAGATCCTATTTTTAACTATATACTTTAAAAACTATCGAGGAAGAAAAATTACAAAACCAAATACAAGAATGGTCATAAGTTATGTACTAAATGTGCTAAATTATCTGATACCATAATAGCTTCTCGATAAATATGATATAAAGTGTAACAAGATAGTTGTGAAAGAAAATGTCAAATATCTCGTACGGTATGATAGAAATCATCTTCCAATGTTTTTCCTCTCAATCATTTGGATAAGTAGCTTATATAATCTCCTTCAATCTCCATATTTGAGAAAGTTGAGGTCGAATACCCTTTAAATAGCTTATCATAAATCAAATGTTTTACCAATAAAGAAGGTATATCATCAAGAATACTAATACCATAGGAATTAAATTACAATCGTCTAGTAGATACTTGGTAGTGGTCTCATGTTCGAATTCTCATGGCACGTCGGTAGTGTGGGTGTGAGAAACCCCTCTCCTCTTGTAGTTTAGACTAAATTGCTTGTATTTTTTATTATTATTAAAAAAAACTTTAAAATGTTTTTAACCTAATAAAATTATATGCTCAAACAATGCAAAAGCAAACTCTAATGGTGCGTTTGGATGAGGGAAATAAACTTGGGATTTTGACAAAAGTCGGAATTTCTAAATTGACATGAACCAATTCCCGTGTTTGGATAACAAAACATAGAAATTTAGAAATTCCGTGTGGGAAAAAACATGGAATTTGGAGATCATAAATCCCAACTTTAAATTCCATCTAAAAGTCGTCATTTCTAAAATCCCAGGAGAGATTGAGTTTTATCCGTGTGGGAAAAAACATGGAATTTGGAGATCATAAATCCCAACTTTAAATTCCATCTAAAAGTCGTCATTTCTAAAATCCGTGTTTTAAATCCGTCACCCAAACAAAAAACTTTACAAATTCTAGAACATTAATTTTCGTCATTTTAAATTCCGTCATTTATGAAATCCTTTGTATTTTTAAATTCCGTCATTTATGAAATCCTTTGTATAAAGCAAAGCAATAACATCTCAAATGGAAATATGGGATGCCATTCGATGAGTTGTTTAGACTGTAATTGAAAGAGACTTCAAAATCCCAACAACTGCATGCGCAAGCTATTATGATGGAGTGCCTGTATTATCAGAGTGGACCCCATATGACAAGTCTATCATCAATAACATTGACTCTCCGTACACAAAAATTTCCTCCT